GACGCACAAAGAAATAAAAATAAATATTTTTTAATGGATGATTTGATTTATCATACTGAAAGAATTTCTAAGGACAAATTAGTCAATTGGTAGTACCTACAGTTAGAAGGGAACAAATTTTAAAATTAGCTCACGAATCTATTTTTGCAAATCATTTAGGGATAAGAAAAACAAAAGAAAGGATTCATTATTCATTGTATTGGCCAAACATGTTACAGGATATTGAAGAGTACAGTCAAAAGTCGTTAATCCGGTCTCGTCGGGACTTCGGCGATTCCGGATTATCGATTTTTTTCCAGATTATAGATCATCAGTTTAAATCTCGTAAGATGGCATGCAGAAATTATAAAATTAAAAATATGAAACCCTAATTTATGAAATAAAGAACAATTATGATCTAAAGGGTATCAAAATTCACAAAACAAAAGCTTAATATTTATTTGTTTACTTTATTAAACATTTCTTTCAATGTAAGTTGTTTAAGTTGCTTCGTTTTATGTGATAATACTTTCTCTTTAATTCTATAAACAGACATAATTTCTTGTTCAGTTACAAAGTTTCGCTGTTCAAGTCCTATAATTGCTGTGTCAAGAATACCGACTAATTTGTCAATCGAAATTTTTTCGTTTTCAATAACCTCTGTCACTTTCTTCGCTATCGGAAGCGAATTATAATGACAAGGAATTTTATTTAAATCATATCAAAGACGGAGTACATCGAGATGAAATACTACATTTAGTAAGGAATTATAAGCCAAATAAAACATCTGCCCTGAAGATAAGGATAGTGCTGACAGATCAACTTCCAATTCATTGCGCGCGCCCGCCGCGGCATTAAAGATAAACAAAATTTAGATAAACAAACGTTAAAGTTTAGATAAACAAAGGATATGCCTTTTTCCCTTTTTTGCAGCAATTCCACTTTTTCTTTGATGGACATCGAAACATACTTTCGTTTTGTAGATCCTTTGGGAGCTCCAGCATTGGAAATTCTATTTGACATAATCGAAAGTTCAAACTTACTTTTATAAAATTGCTCTTACAGTCTGCAAAAAATAATAAGCCGGATCCAATTCGAAGATTAAGGAACAACGGAATTATCAACATTAACTGAAATAGATAATTAGATAATTTTAGCTTATACCGTCCGTTATACATTAAACGTGCACGCGAAAACGTATTCTGTGCTTGTGCACAAGCATATGCGCAGTTGTAAAGGTCTTACGTGCACGCGTGAACGCCTATACGCATGTGTCAACGCGGCACATGTGCAGAAAGTTTTTAGCTTTGAGGTCCGGATTATAGATCATTCCCGATTATGGGTGTCCGAATTTGTTGGCTTTAGTTTTCCACATGCAAATTTTAATCGGAGGTAAGCTAACGTGGCTGCCGCTGATTGGCCGATGACGTCAACATCGGCGGGTTGGCTGAGTATTATATATATGTACACCGGTATCGGCGAATGTTCTTGTTCTCTTGTTGATTATCAGTTAGCATTATGCTAGTTTTGCTTTCAATCAAATTATTTTAAATATAAAGCCTACAGTGTTAGCTTATTTTATTTATGGAATAAAGCATGAATTTTATTTAGATTAGTATAAGCTTTATTTAAGGGAAGCAAAATATGCTTTGCCTTTATCATCACCACTGCCAACAGAATTAACGACTTTTGACTGTACTATAAAACTTGTACGGAATGTCAATTACAAAGTAGAGAAAGAAACAACGATTGTATACCCATAGTTCCAGTTCAGAGACCTGAATTTCCCCTTGACACAGCGAATGTAGATATAATCGGTCCAACTGAACCTCCATCAGATTGTAAACACAAATATATACTATGTTTAGTCGGCCAACATTCTAGATGACAAGAAGACCCTTTGAGAACAATTACAGCAAACTCAACATGTGATGCAATATTAGAAATCTTTATGAGAACAGGCATACCTCGGGTAATAGTTAGGGACCAAGGCACCAATTTTGTTGTAGAATTAACAAAAGAATTTCTTGCTAGATTAGGAGCAAGTCCTTTAGGTCTGCAACACTAGGACATTCACAAAGTTTGGGATTAGTTGAACGGTACAATCAAGTTTTAAAACATCTGCTTCATCATATCATTAGAAACGACAAATTGGGACAAACACATCCCATACCTGTTATTCGCTTACCGAGAAATTCCAAATTCCACGGGAGTATTCCCATTTAAATTAATGTATTTAAAAGAGGCCAGAGGTTCGTTGTCCGTATTAAAATCGTCATGGTCAGGAGAGATTCCACTATCAATAAAATTGGGTAAAAGTGCTGTTGATTATCTACAGGAATTATAAAATAAATTTAGGAACAGCAGCAGAGCAAGCATCTATTATAGCAGAATTGAAACAAGATGCATATGCAAGATATGCTAATCAAAGAGCGATATATAAAGAATTCAATCTTGGAGACCAAGTGTACCTGCTGATTCCAGATTCCAGTAATAAATTATATCCCAGATGAACAGGACCTGCAGAAATAATATCTTATTGTAATTCAGAATCTTGAATCTTACAGAGTCAAACTGGCAGATGGTACAATAAGAAGAGTACATATAAATAAAATTAGAAAATTTAATCAAAAAGTACAGGCAGTCGGTGTAATATTTGAGAACGAAGAGGAACTTGGAGAAGTCCATCTCACACCCAGTGTGAGTGACAAGTCATTTTAGTGAAGTAGACTTAAGCCATTTAGATAATGATTAAACTTGTTAAGAAAATATGACAACTTATTTATAAATAAGGTACAAATTGCCAAATTAAGAGAACATAAAATAAAATTAAATGATACTGAAAGAAAGAAACCGTATGTTTATCGAATCCCAGAAGCATTGAAGCTGCAAGTAGACAAACAGATCGAAGAAATGTTGTCAATGGGATCGAACGAAGAAACCAGCACTGAAATTTTATACCCTATCGTCTGCATTATGAAGAAAGTTGGTAATCTTTGCCTTTGTCTTGACTTTAGGTCTCTTAACACCATAACAAAATCAGATGACTTCCCTATGGAAAATGCGAAAGAGCTCTTATTCCATATTGGAAAAGCCAACGTGATATCCACCATTGATTTGCTCAAAGGCTATTGGGCCATACCATTAGAAAGAGAAAGTCGAAAATTTGCATGCTTCAAGACACATCGAGCTCAGTATCATTTTAAAGTCATGCCTTTTGGGACACGTAACACCGCTGCAACATTTCAGAGGGTGATGAACCAAGCTCTTGCCAAATACAAAGATTTCGCTTGAGCCTATGCCTATGACATAGCAGTTTATTCAAATAGTTGGAATGAACATTTAGTACATCTTGACACCATTTTTTTTTAAACTGTTAGAACTGAAGTTTTCAGTAAATCTGAAGAAATGTTCCTTTGCTAAAACTCACATTAAGTATTTAAGACATATCATCAGTTCTGGCAGTCATCATACTGATCCAGAGAAAGTGGAGGTTATCCAGAAATTAGGTAGACCTCAAATAAAGAAACAATTGAAAAGTATTCTAGGCCTATGTAATTATTACAGAGATTACATTCCACGTTACACCAAAACAGCTTATCCATTAACTGAAGCTCACCAAAAGAAGAGGTCCTGAAGAGCTGTGCTGGACAGAAAAACACGACGAAGCATTCGAGAAATTAAAGAAATGCCTAATGGAAGCACCCAGTCTTTATACCTCTGTTCCAAGGCTACCTTTTACAATTCAATGTGATGCAAGTTCAACTGGTGTTGGAGCCTGCTTACTTCAGCAGAAAAACGGAAAGTTGCACCCGGTTAGTTACGCCAGCCAGAAACTAACCAAAGCACAACAAGCATGGCCAACTATCGAGAGGGAAGCTTATGCTATTATTTGGAGCCTGAAAAAGTTTGAAACTTGGATTTTTGGATCACCCATGGAATTGATAACTGATAACAATCTGTTAACTTTCATCACAAAGAACGCACCACAATCTTCTAAGTTACAAAGATGGGCTTTAGCATTACAAAAGTATGATACTACAATTTCGCATTGCCCAAGTTGAACAATGCTTTTTGTGTGTGCTTTCTTTTGCAGCTACTCTCATAGAATAGTAATCATTTATGATTAACATGATAATAATCATTTATGATTAACATGATAATAATCATTTATGATTAACAATTAGTAATCAAAGTTTTAGAAGAAGTCTTGTAGTAGATGTAGAAGTAACCTGTATAAGTATTGTATTATGTATCTTTCAACTTCAGTATGCATTGATTTGTTGACTTTAATACGTAAGTAACTCTTTTGTTTAACGTCACCATATTTTCTCATATTTCAATAGGCTTCCACCCTATTTCGATCTTGGATGGGGGTGTGATGTACGGGTGATGCCTACCAACAAGATGTATAGAGGGCGCTAACTCTCAGTCTGAGAGGCACTAAAAGTTTAGTTTCTAAGAGGGAGACCTACAGAGATGTCATAGATAAGGAGACGGCTCATGGGAGCCATTAATGAAAATGAAATTAACTTGTATTACTTAATGTATACATTTCAATTACTAGTATTGTAGTTTTAGTATTTAGTTTTGTGTGTGTGCAATAAATGTTTATAAAATACAAGAAGGTGGATTCATTTCTCTATGAGGGGGTGTATGAAGAAAGGGGTGATATCACAAAGGGGAATACAATTTTTCACAAAAAATTAACCATAAAAAATTCAGTTGTTAGCATTTCTACCTAAATTCCTTTTTTAGGCATGTACAATATTAGAGGAATCAACAAAATTCTAGCTCTAAGAAAGCTTAACAATTTTGTTGGTAGAATTCAGTTTAACAATAAAATCCTAGAAATGTAATGATATCTGTGCTGGTGGTAATTTACATTTCCATAGTCATATTCTACAATCTATACCAAATTAAAATCCACATATTAATAACTGATTCATAAAGATAAAATGAATTACATTTTGAATTAATAAACAGTACACAGATTATTATGAAAGCAAGTATTTTCTTACCTATAGCCATATATAAAGCCCCTATAACCACAGGCCAAAACACATACTCTACACTAGCCAAAAGACTTAACTTGAAAACCAATCTTCGGAAAACATTATGCTCAGATTTTGCTTTGATTATGTCTCCTATAAATAAGCATACATAAAAATTTCAATTATTATTGAATGAAATATAAGCTTACATAAATTTATCTGCCCGTTAAAAAAAAACTTTTATTTATTGTTTAAAAATTGGTATCTATTGTTTATTTCTCAAAGACATTAACAAAATACAAAATTCATTTTCAAATGCATTATTCTATGCTTTACACACAAAAATATTCTAACTTGTATTAACTTACATTAATTACTTCCCTGAACATGTTTGACAGAGGGTTTTTATCTGCCCAGGAATATCAAGTTTCTTATAGCACTATTTAAGGCACTTTGAAGGGGCATATGAATCTCTCTCTCTCTTTTTTTAATGGAAAGCAACATGTATTCACATCAAGGAAATCAGCTCAATAAATTTCTTAAACTAAAGGTGCTATGCAGAAAAACTTCACCAACCAAATCTTTTGATTTCAGTCCCATAGAAAATTTGAGAGAAATATGTGACATAAAAAATTCTCCTCCTAAAACTCTAATTTCTTGATCATATGAATAGAGAAGTGGAGTTTACTCCTCTAAATTTTAATAACTTCTTTATTGGAAGCATGAAATCACATTGTGATATGTGTGAATAAATTAAAGAAATTCAGTTACCGTACTAATGTCAAAAGTCTTGCATTAGTTTTTTTAAGCATTTGCTTCCCAACTGAAATTTTATTGTTGCTGATTCAGTTTTATATATTTCATTATATAATTTCATGCCATATATATGTGAGATTTTAAATCCATAGCTTAACATTTTTCCTCGTGCACTATTTAATTTTTAGCCGTTGACTGCACAGGTGAAATTGATAGAACTCTCGCAACTTTGTTTTATGAGAGGAGATGTAAGATGTTGTTTTATAGATATACAATGTTATAGATGTTGCGTTAATACATATACGATGTTATAGATGTAGTGTTAATAGATATATACGATGTTATAGATGTTGTATTAATAGACGAACGATATTATAGATGTATTAATGTTTCATTAAATGTGTTTTGCCTGAACATGAATTGCGATTGCCAAACACAAGAACCCACAAAAATGGTGTCAGAATCGGGATCAATTTACAAGCAACAAATAGAGATATATGAAGCAATATTGCGCGAAGGACGGAATGTTTTTGTTGATAGTGGAATCCATACATCAACTGCACAAATTTTCAATGACACTTCTTTTGCTGTTGTTGATGAAGATCATAAGGTAAAACAAAATATTAGTAAGCCATCAGTTCAATTTCCATTTTCACAGTTTTCAAGTGCATATATAAATTTTAATGATATTGAAAGTCTGATTTCTAATTTTGATGATAATGCGTATAATTCGGTTGACGAATTCATTGAAAACTTTGAAGATGTATCTAATTTGTTAAAACTAAATGAATTACAGAAACTGATATTTGCCAAAAGATCTTCAACTAGCAAAGCAAAATTATTCATTGAAAGTGAAATGAAAATTAATTCGTGGAATGCACTTAAGCCTTTATTAATAAATGAATATGGTGTTCAGTATAACTCTGCTCACTTACATGAATTATTATCAAAACATAAAATGCAGGAAAAAGGATCTCTATATGAATATTTTTCTGTAATTAAAAATCTATGTTCCAAAGGTAATACTGAAAATGCCGTTTTAATTGAACATGTTATTAATGGTATGCACAATTCTACATTTAATAAAGCTATTCTTTATGGTTGTAAAACTTTGGCAGAATTTTCAGGAAAAATTTAAGATATATGAAAAAATTAAATTAGATAAGATAAAAACAAATCCATTAAGCCTAATTCTACAACCAGACGTGACCATTTTGATAGTAAAATAAAAACAAATATTCATTGCTATAATTGCGGAAATCTTGGTCACATGAAGAATTTCTGCAAAAATAAGAGCAAGGGAAAAAAATGTTTTTGTTGTAATTTATATGGACACATAGCTGCAGAATGCACAAAAAATAAGACAAATGTAAACAGTTTTGGTGAAGCAAATCAGATATTTGTAAACAAGCAGTTAAATTATATGCATAAAATTGTATTGATAGATAATGTGATATTATCAGTTAAATTATATGCATAGAATTGTATTGATAGATAATGTGATATTATCAGTTAAATGATATGCATAAAATTGTATTGATAGATAATATTGTGTAAAAGCTCTCATTGATACAGGAAGTGATATAAATATAGTATCGGAAAATATTTATAAAGCAATCGGTTCACCTGGTATTAATTCTTCCCATTTGATTCTAATAGGCTTTGATAATAATAAAATAAAACCTGTTGGTTATTTTAAAGGTTTCATACAAATCGATGATTGTGAAGTTAAATATTTATGTTGTAACTCACAAAAAAATGAAAGAAAATGCTGTTATTGGCAATGAATTGCTTTCTCAAAAGAAAATCATTATAAACAAGAGCAAGATATCTATGAAAGTAGTAGAAGATGAAACTGAATCGAATTTAATGAATGTAAATGTAGATCAAGACGATGAGTTAGATAATTGTTCGGCTATTAATAAAGCACATAGGTCGGAAGTTAAACACTTAATTCAAAGATATATTGCTAATAAAACAGAACCATGCAAAAGAAACAGATGTAGTTGAAGATGAATTAAAGGAAGAGGAGTCTCAGGAAGAAGAAAGTGATGTTAAAAGTTGGAAAGGAAAATTGCAAAATGTAGAGGAACAGAAGAATCCCATTCTTAAAGGAAGAAGAAAAATTCTACCTAAGAAGGTTCAGGAAATCAAAGAGTAACGAAAAAATTAATGATTCCAAAAAACTCACTTCAAAGACTTTTAGAAAAAGAAAGAATTCAAAACCTGAGAAATGTTTTGAAGATAATGCTTTTGAAACAGAAATATCAACAGTAAAACAGGGTAGAGAAACTTCCAGCTGAAGAACTGGATCCTGGTATATCTGGAAATCTTAAAGGAAGACAAGACAAAGGAAGATCTACTAATATTGAAATGTATAGTATTTCAAAAGATGACCAATCTATTTTTTTTAGACCCAGATGTTTACCAATTATAAGTAAAGAGCAACTAAAACAGGGAAAAACTGTTTTAAAAATGGGATTTGGCTGCTCCTGAACAAAAAGTTAGAACTTTGGAAAGAAAACTTTCTATATCAGAATAAACTGTAGAAATGTTACATAAGCAACTATATGAAGCAAAGAATGAAGTAGAAGCTGCAGAATTTCAGAGGAGAACCAAAGATAAAATCCTGTCTGAGAAAGAAAATGAAGTTCAAAATGTTAAATTGAACATGCAAGAAATGCTAGCTTTAGAAAAAGATTGCATGAGGGAAACTAAGGAGAAGAGATTATTTGCTAAACAAGCAGAATTGGAAAGAAAAATGTGTATCGCCAATTGTGAGAAATTCTTAATGTTGATGATAGGGAACATCATGGAGACCTATGTGGTGCTGATGCTGTTCTAACACCATCTAGCATGACTTCAACATCAACTTACAAATCAACTAAACATAAGACAATGTCATATAAGAGGCGTAAATCTTTCCTTGAAGAATCTTCTGTCCCCAAAAAAGATGTTCTAAAGCAATATCAGCTGTTAATTTTATATCTGGAGCAAGCAAACAGAATACTTCTAATTTTCAAGCAGATACTGATTATACTTCTGGAAAAGAAAGCATTAAAGAAATAATTGACGCAGAAATTAAAAACAGTTTTGAAACTTACTGAGAAGAGCTCCGAAAAGATGTGAAAAAAAACAAAAGTTTAAGGTACAAAACGAAAATAAGAAAACATATAACTTTTGAAGATATTCTTCAAAATGTTATGAAATTAATGATTTAGTAGCAATCAAAAGAACACAATTTGGACCAAAACTTAAGTTAAAATCAAAGTATTTAGACTTGTCTAAGAGTGTCAAAATAAAGAATAATGACTCTTATGTTGTTGTAAAAGAAAGAGATCATGAAGGACCTACTCAGACAAGTACATGCGCTGAATACATAAAACAATGGACTCAAGCAGAAGAAGATGTATAAAATAATACTGATTATGACGTTTCCACCTGGAGTGATACAACTGATAACCGAACTGTGATTTTCATCTAATAATGACTTTTATTTCAGTAAATGTTATTTTTAAGATGAAATGAATGTTTTCAAAAATGGTAAAGATCGAAGATATTTTTTGTTTTAGATGAAATATTACTGTTGACAGTGTTATTGTTGCAAAGATGAAGAACAATTAAGATGTTTCCTTTCAATACTGTCCTTAGCACACAATCTTCCTCTCTCCCAGGTTTCGACTTATTCATGATGATGGTTCTTTTACCGAAGACAATGATGATGAAAGATGACCAATGATTTATGATGTCGAGAATAGAATAACGTCGTCAAGGTCGACGCATAGCAGGAAGGCTGAATGTGGGACTTTAAATCCATACCTTAACATTTTTTCCTTGCATGCTATCTAATTTTTAGCTGTTGACTGCATGAGTGAAATTGATAGAACTCTCGCAGGGGCATAGCTAGAGGGGGGCAAGGAGGGGCATCTGTCCCCAGGCACAGAATCCAAGGGGCGCCAAACTGATGTTACGACATTTTAGAATTAAATGTTTTCCATCCTTGGCAAGCAATAGGGGGCGCGAAATCTTCAGTTGTCCCTGGGCGCTGAAAACCCTAGCTACGACTCTGAACTCTCGCCACTTTGTTTTATGAGAGGAGATGTAAGATGTTGTTTTATAGATATACAATGTTATAGATGTTGCATTAATACATATACGATGTTATAGATGTTGTGCTAATAGGTATACACAATGTTATAGATGTTATATTAATAGATGAACAATATTATAGATGTATTAATGTTTCATTAAATGTGTTTTGTCTGAATATGAATTGTGATTTCCAAACACAAGAACGCACATATATATATGTCTGGCCCTGACACAGATGATACTTTAGTGCATGTGTTCCCTTTATTCACATCTGTAAACTCTTGGCACACTGCTTGCATACTTTG